CGAGGCTGAAATTTTAGGGTAATGACCCCCTGCCCACGCTCAACCTTGCCCATTCAAAATCAGCCTTCCCTTACCCGCGGGTAACACGTACGGCTCCGTGAAAGTTTTCCACGGGTAAGTTAATATCTCGGGAACCACGGAGTCTAGGAGGCTGAAATTTTACAGTAGTGACCCCCTGCCCACGATCAACCTTGCCCATTCAAGTTCAACGTTCCCGCGCTCTCGGGTATCACCTATGGGCTAGTGAAAGTTTTTGCGGGTGGATGATTATTTCGGGAACCACGGGGTCAAGGAAGCTGAAATTTTAGGGTAATGAACCCCTGTCCACGCTCAACCTTGCCTGTTCAAATTCAGCGTTCCCTCGCTATTGAGTATCACCTCCGGCCTCGTGAGAATTTTGGCGGTAAAACTGTTAACTTGGGAATCACGGAAAGATATTCACCCTCCAAGGTTTCGAATACAGCTTTCATGCGCTAATGCGTGAAATTTTTAATTATTTTCTAATGTTTAAACTACTTTTGCATAGACAAAAGTACAAAGCAGTGAAAATCATTAATAGGCAATCGCTCGATGGGCTGAATTACACAAGACGTATAATCGCACCGGCTAGTCTGGTACGTATTGCTATTTATTTGCTACTTAAACCTCTGACAAATGCAACTCTGTGAAAGCAAATACTAACAGCATTCATCCGCTGGCAAGGCTGTCAGTGGCTCCCTCTTTCAAGGGTTACTTACAAGCAACCTGATGGCGAATTTAACTTCTTGGCATATGTCAGTACCAATTTATCATTGAAAAAATGAAAAAATCGTAAAGGGATTGGTGGGCCCAATGGCAAGGCGTCAAGTCTGCTAGTTAGATCCATACAGTTCCACCTCGTTAAATCTGTACAGTTCAAAGTATTTAAGTCTGCGTTAAGTCAGCTAGTTAAGTCCGTACAGAACCTACTGCAGATAACGATGCTAATAGATCAATGAGGCATGAATATGCAAAAAATAACTATACCCTCATCATAACTGGTCAAACCGGCGGTCCGAAAAAGCATTTTTGTCGTGCTACTGACACCCTGTTCGCTTTTCTGCGACGGTAATGCCAGGTAATGAAGAATACATTCCCAACGTTCGGAGGCCTTCTTGCCCAGATCCTTGTTTGCCGATTTTCGAGTTTTCTCGTCACAGTCGGTTACTACGTCAAGTTTTGATGCCCGATACAGGCCCATGCGAATTGCTCGTAGATACGAATGACGGTACACTGGCTGAAACTAACCGATGCAACAAGATGGAAAGTAATTCCCTCGATTGAATTAGCGGTGTAGTCAGAATTTTTCGGGGGAAAAAAAAAGAAAATTTAATATTTTTGGATGGAAAATTTGCAGAATTTTTTCTAAATCCGCCTCTTTTTAACTGTTAACAGCGCAAAGCTCGGTAAAGCTCCTTATCGCGGTCTAGGGCAGGAAATGTTCGAAATTAGGTGAGGACAAATATATCCAACGAAACGGCT